ACAAGTCTTTATTATGGTAAAGTATTCCTTAGATCTAAGATGCTATATTTGCATCTTTGAGCAATTTACTTAGCACACATGTATGAAATAATACTAGCCAAAGTGGCTTTTTTATTTCTAAAAGTGCTTATATGTTGATATCATTTTTCCCTCTTGAGATTAATAATGATAAATATCAAGGGCTAGAAGTTTTAAGAGGTTCAAAGTCTACAGAATAACTGTTCTGGGGCCATAAACTGTCACAGAGCACAGGCTACCTACCTGCATGGGCCGTGCTGCCTGGCCACGTTGCTTAGTGACTCCAATGTATCAGCAGGGATCAAACCGCTGATATTGGAGTATTCAGCGGGAGAAGGAGTTCAGTGGGAATTTGCGAGGGGAAAATCTGCTACTATTCCAAAAATCACAGTTCTCTTTGGAAGTTCTATTTTGGGGTGCCTGGGTAGCTCAGTTGGTTAAGCGTCTGGCTCTTGATTGCATCTCAGGTCACGATCTCACAATTTGTGAGTTGGAGCCCCGTGTTGGACTCTGTGCTGTCAGCATGGAGCCTGCTTGGGATTCTCTCTTCCCCCGACCCCTCTCTCTGCCCCTACCCTGCCCTCTCTCTCTCTCCCTCCCTCCCTCTCTCTTTCTTTCTCAAAATAAATAAACTTAAAAAAAAGTTCTATTTTGCACTTCAAAGATACAGTTTTACTAATAAACATCGATGTTGAACTGGATTCACAATTTTCAAGAAACCTGAATTCCTAGATTTTACTTTGGCCTTTTCTTCCTCTGAATACCGTTGTTTAGATCAGAAATGAAACTGCCTGTCTCTGCCACCTGTTCACAAATACTGAGTCAGCTTGCTCTGGCCAACGGACTGCTGTATCATTTGGGTCCTTATTTTTGCCTGTGAGCATTTGAAAAAAATTTTATTTTATTTTAATTTTTTTAATGTTTATTTCTGAGACAGAGCATGAGTGGGGGAGGGGCAGAGAGAGAGGGAGACACAGAATCCGAAGCAGGCTCTAGGCTCTGAGCTGTCAGCACAGAGCCCGACTCGGGGCTCGAACTCACAAACTGTGAGATCATGACCTGAGCCCAAGTCAGTAGCTCAACCGACTGAGCCACCCAGGCGCCCCTGAAAAAATTTTTAAATGTTTATTTATTTTTGAGAGAGAGAGAGAGAGAGTGCATGCACTAGAGGGGGAGGGGCAGAGAGAGAGGGAGACACAGAATCCGACCGAAGCAGGCTCCAGGCTCTGAGCTGTCAGCACAGAGCCCGACGCAGGGCTCGAACTCATGTGAGATCATGACCTAAGCTGAAGTCAGACGCCTAACCGACTGAGCCACCCAGGTGCCCCCTTTGCCAGTGAGCATTTGAAACTGGCTCCCAGATTTGGAAAGAACAGATAATGGTAGGCAGTATGTCCTTCAGAACCTAATATTAATATTTCCAGATGAAAATATGCAAACACTTATTCTTTGCAAAAGCGAGTGAATTCATACTAAATTAGAGGTCATAACTTGTATATTATAGAACTAAAAGAATGTAAATGGGTCCCATTTAAAACCAGAATGTATTTGCTTCATTTTGTCCAGTAAAGTAATTGGTATAATGTGGTAGTAAATTATATTATTAGAAGAAAGCAAGAAATGATAAATTGAATGTTACAACTTATTAGGCATTTCTTTCTTTCTTTTGAATATGCCTGTCTCCTCTCTCTCTCTCTTTATCTAAAACAGGGGGGCTCTCACTGTCATCTCTGCAGTAGAATCATGAGGTGAGAGGGTGCCCATTAAGAGAGGCACACAGCCTCTCCTTGCTCAATAGACCAAGTCCTAATCTTTTGCGGCAATGTCCAGGAATCAGCCTTCCAAAGAGTTCCCTGGATGATTCTTGGGAAAGTAAATGAAGATTTGAGAATTAATCATGTTCCAAGGAACAAAAATTCAAAGGCTGTTTGTGTGTGCATGTGTGTATTACACATGTATATACATATATATATGTATGTGTTATATATATGTGTATACATACATACAAATTTACATATATGTAAATTTGAGCCGAATCTCAATCAGAGATTGTGCTGCTCTCATGAGCTCATTAAGTGTGATCTTCCACTGAATATTCCAAATCCCTTTGATATAAATGTGGCTATTGTGATTGTGAAATTTTGAGTTAAAAAGGAAATCTGTTCAGTTCTTACAACCAATTGTAGTCTGAACTCATGAAGAGTCCATACACTGTGTTTCTTTTTAAAGACAATATGGATTAAATAGGTACTGATAAAATCACTTCCATAAATACCGTGAAATGAATTTCAAACAGAGGGGCCTTTGCTCTTGCGGCTGGTTCCCTCTGTCTGGGAACCACGTGGATCTCCCTCCATCATGGCTTTCTCTGGCCTTCGGAAGTTTTCCGCTGAAATGTCAAATAAGCAAAAAGAACTTTCTTGACCACCTTATCAAAACAGTATGCACCACACTTTGTCTGCTGTCCCCTTACCCTGCTTTACTTTTCTTGAGTACCTTTATCCCTGTGTTGAATGAATCAATCTGTTGGTTAATAGGGACTAACCTGCTACATGTAAACGACAGATACAAAACTTAACATGTAGAAATTTATTTGCACATCAGTCTAAAAACGATAACTTTCATATTGCTGGTCAAATGAAAACAGTGCCTGCTGGACTCTGACCCAATGAAACTGTGGCGTGGAGGAACATGACAAGCCCTTTCTGCTCCGTGATTATTTCCCCGTGCTGCTGGCTTCCTCCTGGACTAGTTATCTGTAAATTTTCAGATTTAATTGATGCTATATCTCTTTCTAAAAAGTATTGCGCATTTCCTTGGTCATTTCAGTCCTTCCCTTTTTGACTTCATTCATCCCTGCAATCTTTGCAATTACCCATTAAAAGCAGTGCTAAGGGTAGGCTTTAAGATTCTTGCTCCTTGCCTAGGACCCTTGGTCATTAATGTCTGAATCGTGGTTCTATAAAAATTTCCTCATGCCCAGTAAATGCTGGCCCTCACATCCTGTCCCCACTCAGACCATCAGGTCTTTTTGTGGTTCCCTTGTTGGGTGTTTTTAGAGACTTACAATCAAGAACATGATGAAGTTATAACTCTAAATCTATGAGTGATGGATGGCTTTCATTTAACTATATAACATTTGGATATAATGACTGTTTCCTTGATTTTTACACTTGTTAAGTCTTTGGCAATATTAAGAAAGCCTCCAGAAGAAGGAAGAATTGATGGCAGGAACTCAAGGCGTATCATACTTAAATATATTCCTGGAAAATATGAACATGAGATAATATTCAGTGTGATGTTGGCATTTGATAAATCAGATGCAATGAAGCTAATTATGCAAAACAGTTATTTTGAACCTATCATTCATCTGAACGCTATCTAAATCAGAGTTGATTTAATTACTAGCAGAGGGAAAGGTAAGGAACTAACTTGCTCTATTCCTTCCCTTTCCTCAAAACATTCAGTAATTTTTATTAACGCTGAATTCATAGAATTCTGAGCACTGCCTCAATCATTCAGAAATGCTCTGTTTTGTTTACGTAAATTTAAAACAGCCCTGTGTGCAATATACTAATAAAGCGTGTATTTATCTGCCAGCAATTTCGAAACTTTGGAATGGGCTTTTTCTCAAATATACTCGGTGAGAATATTAAAATCCTGGGGGTTACATGATCCTGAAGAAGCAGTGCAGAGTCACTGAGCATTGAAGATCTTGTCTCTAAAGTGGCCACCGGTGACTGCCTTGGACGGCCACACAGAGATAGAGCTGCCCGCAGACACTGCTGAAATCAAGGAATTCCAAAATCCCATTGCTTAGAATGGAGTGGGGAGCTCCCAAGTTCGGGCTGTCCAGAGGCCGCTGACAGTTAAATCCCAGCATGGCGTGTGGGTATCGGCTTTGAAGGTTTAGCCGAAGGGTCTTGCCAAAAGTCCGCTCTCCGCCTCATTCGGTTCTTGTGTGTGTTCTCCGCTCACCGCCATGAGATAACCGTCTCTCCCTGCTGCCCTGCATCCTTCACTGTCCCCCGGTGTCCTCCACCCCACCTGCCCCAGTGGAGATGATGCTTCTGGGATTCTGACCGTACCTCAGGTGCAGTGTTGGCTCTCGGTCAACATCGTCTTTTCCATGTGTCAGCTGAACCTCTTAGCCCTCGCAGGATGCTCTGTCCTTGGGTCCGCAAAGGTTCCCTGGTCCACAGCACTGTTTCAAAGCAACACCTCCGCCCATACAGTGCGAGGAAATGACACAAATAAGGATTTACAAATACTACAAGGCGAGCGATGCGCAGACTCAGTTTACAAATTCAACCAGTTAGTGACAGCCACTTGTACCGTTTTTTTAGAGGAAGGTAGACTAAATGAGGTGCTCCAGTTTGGAGGGTAAGAGTAAAAGGAAATGTGACTTGAAAACCTATTTCTTTACAATCTGCTTCTCTTAGAGATGTAGGCTGTTGTAAGTCCAAACATTTCCGTTCACTCATTGTCCGGGAAGAAACTGCTGATGAGAACGAATTCTGGCTCACTTTTCAGGAACAACATCAGGATGGCTTGCCATCATGGCTTATTTGTTGGCTCATCATTGTACATAATAATTTCTGTTGCAGAATTTAAGGTGCAAGGACTATGGGATAAGAAGAGGTTTTTAGGTTCGACTTGTCTGCCTGATTCCTTTAGTAAGGAAGCCAGCCACATTCGTTAGGCTGAGAAAAATGATGTTTCGCTGGCCCTGTTCAGCGTGGATTTATCTCAGAATCATTATCATCCTTATAGGGAGATCAGGTTTGGGAGCAAAGCAAGGCAGCTGGGTGATGCCGATAAGCTGATTAGCTTGACATATTGCTGCCATTTCATGCTATTCATTTGATTTTCTGCAGATTTCACCATTTCTGTGCAAAAAACAAATTCAAATATGTCTTTGATAAAACAAGTTCTGTCTGAATGTTGGTTGGGTCCTAATGTCTCCTGTTCGCTTATTTCAGCTGGGTCCCGGGCCTCGTACAGCAGCCAGCACGGCCACCTGGGCCCGGAACTGCGGGCCCTGCAGTCCCCAGAGCACCACATAGACCCCATCTATGAGGACCGTGTCTATCAGAAGCCCCCTATGAGGAGTCTCAGCCAGAGCCAGGGGGACCCTCTGCCATCAGCACACACGGGCACGTACCGCACGAGCACAGGTGTGTATTCAGCCCCCCCTGGGTGGTCTGTGCGTAGTAGGCGGCGGGGGTGGGGGGGTCCTGCTCGGGAGCTCATCAAAGGTGTGTGTGTGTGTGTGTGTGTATATGCGTGCACACACCTTCTCATCCTCTCTCCCCACCAGCATTATGACCTGCTTCTACCATTAATGTCTGTGATGATAATGAGAGAAACCAAATACGATTCATTTAGCTACCTGAGTCTCTTTTAAATGAAAGAAGTTTAATGGGGGGTTGTAAGATCGTCCAACAGGCGATCTGAAAGAAAACTAATTTTTTGTGTGCCATCGTTAACATATTTGATGAATTTAAGTACTCCAAGAAAGCATAGTCATTATGCAGGACAGAAAAGGCATATGCCTAATGCTGGTAAGTGTTCTTTAATGATACAGGCTACCTATCTGGCAGGCTGGGGGGAAACCTATTTAGGAAAATGTCGCATTATTTTGTAAGGCAAACTGAGACTTTCCTTCATAAGCACTATCAGGTTCAGTCATGTGAAATTATCGTGTAAAGGTCAGATATTGACAATTGCATATGATTCAATCAACCCTAGAGCTCTCCTGGACTAAATATATATTTTGAATTGAACACGACCACAGGCTGCGCAAAGAAAGGCAAGCATTTTCCAGAGCATGTAGCCATTTGCAAAATAACTGGTTAAATGCCATGCTTAAATGTGCTGGAGAGCATTCATCTAACAATAAAATTGATACAGTTAAGATATTGAGAACTGCCCTTGTTACAAAGCTTCACATTGCTAAGGAAACTTAGAAAATAGTATGCCGCTGGTTTGCGTACAGCAACTGATACACACTGCACTTGAACCAAGGCTGAGTCGTGGGAAAACTGAAGCTCTGGTCCAGAACTTGGCACACAGGGCCCTGCACCTTCAGACTATTGTAACTTCCAGTTACCCCGAAGTAGAGCATAGCAATTTTGTTAACTGCATTATGATACTAAATTATACGTTTTGAAACCCAGGCAAGTTAAGTTGCTTTTATGGTCGATTACTGATATTTACATTTCAGTATTTCACTGCACCGTAAGAAGAATGGCACAAAATACTCTTTCTTTTATTTTTGACATCATAAATGCCATCCATCGTTAATAATTCATATCTTGGTTCAGATGAAAAGGAATACCCATTTATTCTTCTGTCGGAGTTCTCTCATTGTCAGCCTGCTAGAACCACTCCTGTGTGAGGCTGGGCTCTTTTAACCATTAGTTGGTTTGCATAATAGTAACTAAGGCAATTTTATTTCCATGCACCCCTTACAAAAGGCAAGGATTACCACCTCTGTGATGTTGAATATGTAATTTGCATAAAAACTGACAACAAAAGGGATTATATGCTGATTCTCTGTCCTGCATTCCTATGCTCTTCGAATTATCTTTTGTTAATAAACTTCTGGGAGCTTCATAAAAATGTACCTACAATAAGAAAACAATACTTCATTCTACTGTGTCGGATCAAAGACAGGGGAAGATGTTCACACTTAAAACAAAACAAAACTAGTATTTTCTCTAAACTAGGGGTCTGAAAACTCTCGCTCATGGGCCAAATTCAGCTGGCCACCCATTTGATTAGTGCTCCTGAGCTAAAAATCATTATTACATTTTAAATGGTTTATGGCCAAATGATGGATAATATTTTCTGATTCGTGGAAGTTCTATGAAATCCAAATTTCAGTGTCTATAAATAAAGTTACTGGAACACAGCCATGCCTATTTGTTCCCGTATCATTTCTAGCTGCTTCCACGCTGTAGCAGCTGACTTGAGTAGTTGTGGTGGAGACCATCTGGTTGGTAAAGCTGACAATACTTACTTTCTGGCCCTTGGTAGAAAAGTTGGCTGACCCCTGCTCTAAGCCATCAGTGGAGCACTGTGCTGAATGAACGAACAAGGGTGTCATCCTCCTTAGGAGGGAAGCCAGCGGTGTCCTCTAAATGCATCAGGGAGAAAAACCTGTTTGCCTGGGTGTTCTCAGTAACAGTAATCTCTGCCCTGGCAGAGAGCTGCTGAGGTTGTGACATCCAGATGTCCGAGACCCCAACCCAGCCTGCCCTTTTGAGCTTGAGGCACTTTTGAGGAAATCTGCTGATTTATGCAACAATATTGACATTTCCAGGAGTGCATGGATGGTCTCTTGGGGTGACAGGTGGGGAGAACCCACCTCTCTCCAGCTCCTAAGTATAAAGCCACAGGCTCTATCTCCTCTGCACCTGCTCGGGTCACTCCCTGTTTCTACACTTAATTCATTTCATTTCAAATCCTTATACTTTTCTTAGCTAACCCTGCAACCCCAGGAACTGTCTCTATTAGAACCCACATGTTTGGGAATGCCTTTAATATGGGTGTATACCCTTTACTTATAAATTGTATACATAGTATACAATATCATTAAATAATATCTAGTAAAAGTCAGGATTACAAATTAATATAAAGAAACATTCTAAGATTGTTTTTTCATATCCAGGAGGTTATTTTTTTTTTTGAAAGTTTATTTATTTTGAGGGAGAGGGAGAGAGAAAAATCCCAAGCAGGCTCCGCTCTGTCAGCTCAGAGCCCGACGCAGGGCTGGATCCCACGAACCTTGAGATCATGATCTGAGCTGAGATCAAGAGTCCGGACGTTCAACCTAGTGAGCCACCCAGGCACCCCCCGGAGGTCGTTTTTCACATCCTGTGTTGCACACACCCCATACTGGAGACTTCTGATGCAGAACTTTGAGAGGTTTCCAGGGCCAGAGCAAATACCCCAATTTCTTGGGACGGTCTTCTAGGGCCTCTTAGACCCGAAGTATTCAGGGGCCACTGACTTTTGGCTCCCATTGTGGCTGAGGTGGTTTGAGCAACCTATCTTAGGTCTCAGCCCTTGGGTAGCAGGGCACTGACTGGTGTTCCTTCAGTTTGACCCCTAAAGCATTTCCAGGGGACACATCAAGGAGGTGGGCCACGGGAATTGAGGGGCACTTGTTGTAGTCAACACTTAGGAATGAAGACAAATGCACTTGCCTAAAAAAACCAGGGAATTACTAGATGGCGCTGTAGTAAGAGCAGGTGGGTCCGAATGACAGAAGCATGTGGCAGGTCACTGCTTTCAGAGATCACTCTAAATTTTCTGAACATATTCGCGAATCCTCAGAACCACCGCCTGAAGGAGGTACTGTTACGGTGCTCATTCTACAGAATACTGAGGCACAGAGATGTTGAGTAACCTTCCCAAGGTCCCACAGGTTGTATGGAGCCAGTCTTTAAACCTTTGCACCCAGGCAGTCTTGGCTCTGGAACCTGGCTCTTAACGTTCATCTTGGTTGAAACTGTATTTGTAGGGGCTCTGTTGGTTAAGCGCCCAACTCTTGATTTCGGCCCAGGGCATGATCTCCCGGTTCGTGAGTTCAGGCTCCACGTGGAGCTCTCTGCTGTCAGCACAGAGCCGTTTTGGATCCTCTGTCCCCCCTCTTTCTGCCCCTCCCTCGCTTTCTCTCTGTCTCTCTGTCTCTCTCAAAAATAAATAAACATTAAAAGAATGTCTCTCTGTCTCTCTCTCTCTCTCAAAAATAAATAAACATTAAAAGAATAAAAAAGAAACTCCAGGGGCGCCTGGGTGGCGCAGTC